CTCCTCAGAGAGGCATTCCTAAACCCCAGGGAATCCCCTCCCCTCCAGTTCTGGAGTAAGCAGCATGGAGGAATAATAAGCACTTCCTTCCTTGCTATTTTCAGTGCCTGAACTAGAAAGTCCCAGAGAGCTGCAGCTCTGCAGGGGGAGGCACAGCCCCAGCCCCAGCTGAAAAACAATTGTACAAGTGTCACCAGCATTATGGCAGCCTGGCTCCATTATTCAGTTTTCTATTTCATGTCATGTTCAGTATGAAGTTCTCTGCAGGGTTTTCAGTGCTCCCAGATTTATTTTTCCCTAGCAGCGTGTGTCAGGCTTCCCCCGCCCCCACCCTTGCAGCGTGTTTGCTTTGCCAGGAAGGCATGGAGAGCAGCCTGATGTTTTGGATCCTGAGAGGCATTTTGGGCTTGTTGGAAGTGCCTCACTCCCTGCTCTGGTTTGGTGTAAACAGCTCTGCTGGCTGTGGCTGCAGGGAGCAGAACCTTGCAGCAGTGCCAATGGTGGCCAGCAAACACGAGCGGGCGTTGGATGGAAAATCCTTCCAGAGCTGGAGATGTTTTGTCAGGTACCCTGAGTGGCCATAACCAGCTACAAAGCCTTTCAAAGAACTGGGAATTGTTGGCACAAGGATCTGCACTCTTCTGTGAGTGTACTTTGCCAACAAATCTCAATTTTTATGTGATGATATAAAAACTTTAGTTAAACTGAATAATAGTTCCTGGTCTTCTCCCCACTTACATCTTGACAGACTTTGCATTTGTGTATTTCTTAAGCTTTGTTAAAAGTAAGAAAAGTTAAAAGTAATAAAAGCCTAACACTGAGCTTCTTAAAAAAAGTTGCAGTGTGTGATCTGAAATTGGAAGTATTTTTCCTGAAGTTTATTGATATTTTGGAAGGAAAAATTAATACCTGATGGGCTTTATTAAACTTCTCTCTGGAAGAGATTTAAACAAGACATTCTGTAGTTTCTGACTGAAATCACAGTTTGAAAAGTTCCATATGACTCACAAAATGAGCTCTGATAAACTCACTTTACCCTCAGTGCTTTGCATATTGCTTAACACAGTTTCAGTGATGGAATGAAGATTGCTCTGGTGGCAGGTTTCTTTCTGCTTTTGCCTCCAGGCTTCCTGTGGAACATTGGACCCCTATCTATTGCTGCTTTGCATTTATGAAGCTGCAAGTCAACACATGAAAAGTTAGTGACTTTCCTTTTAAAATCAGTCAGTCCTACTTTTGTAATTGCAGTGGGAAACCTGACAGCCCTAATGTGAGTTTTAATTTAACCTCTTCAGATGTGCCCTGGAAGACAGCAGCATTCTCCAAAATACACAACTTTGTTTCCATCTGAGGGGCTTTTTTCTGGATTTCTGGATGCAGTTTATATATTCTGTCATTAAAAATGGCTCTAATACTAAATTGTTGTAAAATTTAGTACTAAATTTCCAGGCTAGCATTAAAATGGATACATGGGATATATGAGAAGGAGCTGCAAAATTATTTCCAGCTAATTCCAGATACAGTATCTGATCCAAGTGATCCTCTTGATTCAGATGAAAGATGAGATAATGCTGAAAAAGACCAGGAACCTACCTACACATTGGCAGAGTTCCACTCCTACAGTGTGCTGGAGTTGACCATAAATTGTTTTGTGTAGTTAAATTGGCTAAGTAGGTTGTTGCAATGTGGTGCCATTATGAGGCATTCACTTGTTTTGGGATTTGGCAGGAACCCAGTTTACATCCGTGCAGAGAAGCAAAAAATAGCAGCTCCAGAATGTGTGTTTCATCTGTGGGCTGAAAGGAGAGCCATTGTATGGTTTGGAGGAAGAAGCAGCATCTCTGGTGAAAGAGAAGTATGTGCTGGTTCACAGAGCTGTCCCCTGCAGGCTCTGGGGGAGCTCCTGGCCATGGGAGGTGTTTGTGGGCATGGCTGCAAGGGGAGGCAGTGCCTGTGCCTGGGGCTTGGCCATGGGGCTGTTCTGGGTACAGTGGAAAAGGGAAGCTGCAAAAAAGAGCTTGAGGGAAAGCTTCAGGGAGCAAAGAGGAAGAACAGCTTTAGTGTGGTCACTAGGGAGGAAGAGTAGAGAGAGCATAAGGAAAAGCAAGAAAATTTGGCAGATTAGTCTGTGCATTATATCTAGTTGAAGTAACTGTTTTCCATGTGAAAACATTGAGATTGATCCTCTGATATTTCTGTGTTGTTTTTTTCCTAAGTTCCTATACATCTATATCTAGTTGAAGTCACTGTTTTCCATGTAAAAACACTGAGATTAATCCTCTGATATTTCTGTGTTGTTTTTTCCTAAGTTCCTATACATCTTTTGCAGTGGAACCAGAGATTTTCTGCAGACATGCAAGGGAAGGGTCCATTTTACACAGGGGGTTATGGATCTGCCTTTCTGGTCAAATGTCATTTCTGATTGCAGTAATCATTTTTTTTGCTTCCACTTTGTATTAAGTTCTGAAGAGTTTTGATCACACTGAAAGTAAAGCTAAACAAATCGAAGCAAGACCTTTAAACAAAGATAAAGGAGTAAATATTTGTATATCCTGCTCTCTGAACAGGTTTGGAAAGGCAAACTCTTTTCCAGTCAGGTACTCCTATCAATGAGACTTTTCTTTCCTGCCTTGTCACAAAATTGTTTACATGATCAGAGGATTTTCATCTTAGAAAGCTTCAGAACCAAATAAAGCACAAAGGAAAGGTTTGCAGTGATGCAGCAGCAGTTTTTGTGAATGATCATAATGTAAATCCCATCCTAACATGCAAACATGGTATTATGTGCAGTTCATTTTTTCAGGTGGGGTTGACTAGGGTGCTGACAGCATCCACAATAAACACCTGAAAACAATCTCATTAGATGTATTAGACATGGCAAAATCTGAGCTAACTAACCCTAATTAAATTATATTTGCTATCAGCCTCCAGCCTTGCTCCCCAAAGATTCCCTTGTCCCAGAAATTTAATTAGAAGGTTCAGGATTTATGGCCAAGTATTTGAATCTGCCACTAGAAAATGGATTCTGCTGAGGAATCTAATTCTTCCTTTTGGACTGGTTAGTCCACAGTGAGCACTGATGATATCAAGGCTCTCACCAAGTTCCTAAGACATTTAATAACAGATAATTTTGAAGATAGAAACTTGCTGTGAGTGCATATTAACAGCTTTCAGGCCAGGAAAACTCACTTGAGGTTACTCCTTATTTTTTATGTTAGTTGAGCTTTGACTAGGTAAGGTGTGTTCATTGACACTGAAGAAAAATGCACGGTATCATTTGGGCTTTGCTTGCTTTTTCTTGGAACACTTCAGAAGCATATTTGGAAGGTTTGCTGTGGCTCCTGTGAGCCTTGCTGCTGGCAGGAATCAATTGACTTAAATCCATATCTCACTGTCTGGGGGAGCTCAGCTTTTATCTGTCCCTTATCCCCTGTCCCTCTGTGAAATTCCACAGCAGAATCTGCCCCTTATTCCCTCAGTTGTGTCCTTTTCACTTGGATCCCTGTGTGAAAGTTTCCTGTTGTGTCCTTTTTGGTTGGATCCCCATTTAAAGGTTTCCCTTGTCCCCCTTCTGCAGGGAATCTGGTTGGATCCCTTTCTGTTGGATCCCCTCTTTGAAGGTTTCCTTTCCCCCTCTGGTTGTGTTTTTTTCATTTGGATCCCTGTGTGAAGGTTTCCCTTGTCCTTCCTCTTCAGGGAATCTGGTTGTGGTTTTTTCAGTGTGATCCCCATGTGAAGGTTTCCTTTCCCCCTCTGGCTTTGTTTTTTTCAGTGTGATCCCCATGTGAGGGTTTCCTTTCCCCCTCTGCAGGGAGTTTTTTCAGCTAGATCACCATTTGAAGGTTTCCTTTCCCCTCTGAAGAGATTCTGGTTGTGGTTTTCTTCAGTGTGATCCCCATTTGAAAGTTTCCTTTCCCCCTCTGGCAGTGTTTTTCTCAGCTGGATCTGCATGTGAAGGTTTTCTTTTCCCCTCTGCAGGGAATCTGGTTGTGTCCTTTTCAGCTAGATCCCCATTTGAAGGTTTCCCTTGACCCCCCCCTGCACTGAATCTGGTTGGACCCCTGTGTGAAGGTTTGCTTTCCCCCTCTGATTGTGTTTTTTCCAACTGAATCCCCATTTGAAGGTTTCCTTTCCCCTTTGGGTGTGTTTTTTCCAGCTGGATCCCCATTTGAAGGTTGCCTTTCCCCTCAGGCTGTTTTTACCAGCTGGATCCCCATTTGAAGTTTCCTTT